ATGTGGAATGACTCTATTAGATGTGACTTATATCTGTTGTATGTGATATTTGGGTATTTCTTATGACATTTGTTGTTTATACGTGATATTTGGGTGTTGTATGTGATATTTGGGTGTTGTATGTGATATTTAAGTGTTGCTTGTGACATTTGTTTGTTGTATGTGATATTTGGGTGTTGTATGTGATATTTGGGTGTTGCTTTTGACATTTGTTATTTATACGTGACATTTGGGTGTTGTGACATTTGTTATTTATAATGGTTGGGTGTTTGCTATTTATAATGTAAGCACATTATAAATAACAAATGTCACAACACCCAAATGTCACGTATAAATAACAAATGTCACAAGCAACACCCAAATATCACATACAACACCCAAATATCACGTATAAATAACAAATGTCACAAGCAACACTTAAATATCACAAACAATACCCAAATATCATATACAACACCCAAATATCACGTATAAATAACAAATGTCACAAGAAACACCCAAATATCACATACAACACCCAAATGTCACGTATAAAGACTCAAATGTTTACATACATTTGTTGTATGTGATATTTGGGTATTGAATGAAAGTTACCAAACATCCCATTTAACCTTGAATAACTAAGTTACAATCTCAACCCATCATCCCATTTCCTTCGTGGAACCAATCTATAGCAATGTGCAGTACAAACAATTAACTCAAATCAAAACTCAAATTTAAAGCAAACAAATTAAAAAAACAAAAATCATCTTTGCCTCGCCGCTAGATGCAATGTGTCGCCCCATTGTTATCGTTAACATTTACAAATCTAGAAAATCCCCTGTAATTCAACTCCCTTATCATCGGCCCCGCCGACGTCGGATCCGACGACCCCGACGAGGAGGTCACCGACCCCGACGAGGAGGTCACCAACACCGAGTGGCTCTTGAAGATGGGATTGAAGCCGTAACAGGACCCTGATCCAAAGCCGTTAAAATTGATCCGAGAAGCCGTTACGACCCTGGTTTGTGTTAAATTTTATCCGAAGCCGTTATGACCCTAGCCTGCATTCAATTTTACCTTCTTCGGATAAAGCCGTTACAACCCAAATATCACATACAACACCCAAATATCACAAATAAGATCTAAATATCACATATAAGGTAGAACTGTCACATATAAGATTGAATTGTCACATATAACATTAAAATATCACATGATATGCTTATTGTCACATTTACAGTTAATTGTGATACATATATGTTCCCTCATTTTCCCATTTAACCTTAAATAACTAAGAAAATAACAACACTCCCATTTAACCATCTTTTGTTCTCCTTCTCATCATCATTATCAGCAACAGAGCCCCAAGAACTGTGAAGATTCTGATCGGACGGGCTCGAGTGAATCTGCATCATTCAAGCCCACACATCTGCCTCATTGCCTTCTCAACCTCCTCCTCGTACCTAGACATCATATAAGAATCATGTGTATGAAAAGGATATAAACAATCATACCTCTTAAATTTAACAATTCATCAAAAAGGTATCTTTATATTCTGCTCTAATTTTGATTAGTACTATTCTACAGGTTAGAATAAGGGAATTAGATTAAAATTGAGGGAATAAATGGTAAAAAATAGGTAAAATAAAGATGAAATTAGCAAAATTTAAGCCATCAGAGAGATAGCTACATTAATGGATGGAAAAAAATTAGCAAATAAAACCTTTCATAAAAATTCAAAGTGTAAGGAGCAAAAATCTAGTTGAGATAACCCATCAAGAAAGAAAAATAAAATTCTTCAACGCACCCAAAAGGGTATAAAATATTCTTTAAAAATAAAGATAACACCCACTACTAGCAACCGAGGGGAAACAAGAAGCAGAAAACCCAACAACCCGATTTATTCTCTCAACTAAAATTAAAATTACAAAAAATTGAATAAAGTGAAATTAAAAAAAATTACCTATTATGATGGGTACTCGTGGAATCTCTCAAGGGCATACAAGCCCTAAGATTAGATCCTCTACTGTACCCCCCACCACACGGAGGAGGCAACGCCGCAGCCGCTGCCGCGACGATCCTCTCAGCTCCGACGACGGTGATTGATCGGGGGACCGGCGACGGGTCGGGTTCGGTATCGGAGTCGGAGGTCGACATGATTTTTTTAGGGAAAATTGATTGGAGGAACCACAAATAATTGCTGGATAAGGAAAGGGATTGTGGAGTATTTTTTTTGGTTTTAAATTGGGATGGGAAGGGTAATTTGGGAATGAGTTCATGGGATAGTGGGATTATACAGTGTTTGGGGGTTGGTTGCACTTATATTTTTATAAAAGGATTTTTTGGTTATGCTTTTTGAGCTTGGGGTGGGGATGAATGACCCAACTTAATTTGGTTCCCCCAAGCAATTTTCCCTTTATTTTTTGGTTTTGTCCTTGATTGGAGAGAAGGGGAGAAGAGACGTATTTGGGTTTGGTCACATTATTATTATGTGATAATGTGAGTGATTTTTTAAAAAAATTTATTTTGAGGTTGTTTTGTTGGCTAAAAAATAAGGAAATAAATTATAAGAAATTTATTTCTTGTAATAGATTTTTTTTGTGTTTGGTTCATTCATAAAAATAAGAAAATAGATAAGATGAGATGAGTTGTCATTATATTATTGGATGATGGGAAATCGATTTCCTAATATTTTTGGAGGAAATGGGTGGAAATGAAATGTTAATGAGATGAGATGAGTTATCACCATATTAATGGATGATATGAGTGATTTTTAAAGATGTGATGTGATGCAGATGAGATGAGTTAGATGATGTGACCCATTTTTTATATTTGGTTTATTTTTAGGAGATGATATGAGATGAGTTGTGGGATAAAAATAATATTTTATTGGATATTGTCATGAGTTTTAGGGATTAAAATAGATAAAAATAATATTTTATTGATTTCCATGTACCCTTTTCCTTTTCTTGATTTTTAGGAAACCAACCAAACAGCCCCCTAAGAGGCATTTATTGAGCGAAATAGGTCCAGGAGGAGTAAAGTGCAAAGCCAAACAAAAACATCCCTTTTCAGCATTTTCTCGTTTGTTTGCATTATTTGTTTAGATTCCTCAAAAAAAAGTTATTTGGAAATACTTTTCTCAGAGCATATGAGTTCTGCTCCTCTTTGCTAAGAAGTCCTAAGCTTTTCTTTTTGAAAAAGTCCCTAAGTTCTTTCCGTCTCTGGTCAAAATACTAATTTAGCTTAAAAAGTGATACACTACCAATAACGCCTAAAAAGTGACGCATACGACAATAAGGCCTATAAAGTGACTCACTTAACCGTCTAAGTCTACTCCGGCGAACAGATTGTTAAATCGATCTCACTTGACCGCATATGGTCATACAGTTTACTTATTTATTGCTGATGTGGCAAAGGGATGCTGACATGGAAAGTTAGTTGGGTTTTATAAGATTAGGGCTGAAGTGAAATTGGGGAAGAACCTAGGGTTTTAGAAATTGAGAAGGTAATTGGCTCGATTGGTTAAAATTTTGCTCAAATTGGTCGAATTGGTCTCGTTGGCTGCCCCCATGCCTTCTTCGAGCTCCAGTTCAAGATCCATTATCAGCGGGGTAGGCGCTAGCCATGGTTGCAATAGGTTGTGGTCTATACGAAGGTCAAATGAAGCAGCTAAGCAATATGGGGTGAAAAAGTATCGTTGTGGGTTAGGGTGTGAGTTTTACACATCAATGAGAGATGATAATCCAGGAAGGAGATTCTATATATGCCCAAATTACAGTCTAAGTTAAAGCTGATTTATATTTTGAGTTTTTTTTAATGATTTATGTTTTTTCCCTTTATTCAGATATGGTTGTAGGATGTGGGAGTGATTTGACTCACTCATTTGTTTAATGGCATCTCAACTTGTTCCACTTTTGAGAGAAGAAATCAGGGAGATGAGCAACAAATTGAAGGCTAAGGAGAGCAATGTTGAAGAATGTGAGTTAGAGGTTAGCAAGTTGAAGGAGGATGTTGAGTTTTTTCAAGGTGAAGCTGAGTCATGTATGGAAAAGATTATGAAATTGAGAAGGGAGAGAGCACCATTGAGGAGCAAAAGCTAAAATGAGCTTGTACTGGAGGATTATCTGTGGCTTTTTTGGTTGTAATGTGCTTGTGTATGATTATCATTGTAATTATAGAAGTGTAAGGGTGTTGACTTTATGAAGATGTATTTTCTGGAAACATGACAAATTTGAAATTGAGTTAGCTTGTTTTAGATATGTGCGGAACTATGTATCCTGAAATGTGAGATATTTATGTGGCAATTATGAACATGATGTGCACTATGTATCAATTTATGTAAAATCATGCAAACATACAACTTGTGAATATAACATGTGCATACACATTTTGCTAAAAAAAGACAGCCACATACACATACATAATGCACATATCCTGGAAACCATTATGAGCATGTAACCTAGCTCAACATACACATGCATAGTGCACATAACCTGGATCAACATTATGTGCATGTAGTAAAAACTTTTAAATTCAAACCATGTTGTATTATGCTCACATAATCAGAATAGCATTAAAATTTATATTCAGAATAGCATTGAGGTACACATAGATGTCACAAACCAAAAGTACATGTACAACACACTGCATTGTCTTACATTCAAAGAAACAAAAACATATCAACATATCCTTCTTCACTCCATCACTTGAGAATCATTTTTGTGAAGTAGCTATGATTGTAGGTTGGGGATGACTAGGTCCTTCTCTATATGCCATTCATCATTCTCTCCTTGGCATAATCTAAATTCTTCAGGGATAATTCGTTGAGTGCTTCTACCCTTGGCTCTGCCTCTACCTCTACCCCTCCCTCCACTCTTGTCTATGACATATGACCCACCTTTAGTGAACCCTCTAACCGTGGATATTCCCCTTCATTCAACCCTCTCTTTGTATCCCTTGGCTCCCCTCTCTATCACTAATGAAGCTGTTGTATGAGTATTGTTCCTTGCTAATTACATTCTTACTTCCCTTAGGCCTGCCAAAGTTTCTCCATTAAGTTGCTGATGATCCTTCAGTTTGTTTATTTGTTACCTGAGATGTCAACAAAAAGTAAAAATTATTGATTACAATACAATATAAATAATTAACATAAAATATTCAAACTCAAACATCTTACTTGTGTGTTAGGTTGCAATGGATGAGGACAATTTCTTCGTGTATGTCCAGTAGATCTGCAATTAGAGCACTTGTGGGGAACTCTTGCTCTTGATGCCTTATTAGTGTTACTTGTGCCCTCATGAAGATCCCTCCTCCTTGCTACTTTGGGTCTACCAAGCTTCCTTTTGACAATGTGAGGAGGCAAAATCATTCCCTCACCATCCATATTCCAGAACCTACTGCCTTCAATGGGGCTCAACAAGTCACGACAGTAAAAATCTCAACCACTTTGTGTTTTTGAGCTTCCTTAAGCATCACTAGCAATTCACTATGAGCATTCATGCTTTCTCAACCCACTCATACCAGGTAAAGAATAATATAGAAATAACACATTGTAATATCCACACTTTTCCATACAATTCATGAGAAAAGGAATAGAGAATGCATTTTCTTCTATGAACTCTACATCAAATGTTCCTCCAACATATTCAACTGACTCTAAATTTTACCAAAATAGACACATTCATCTGCGCAAAATAAACAAAATAAACGTCAATTTTTCAGCAAAATATACCAACATTAAACCCAACAAACATTTAATCTTAATTTACAAAACCCCTAATTTTACCGTAACTTTCAGTAATACTACCAATTTATACAAATGTGCCCTGATTTTACCCTAACGCACCTAAAAAAACTCTATCTTTCAATTATTTGTGTTCAAAAGTCATAAAACAAACCCTAATAAAACCCTAAAAAGAAATTTTGAACTTACCTTTGACGACCACGAGAAAATGACGTTTTTCGATTCATAAATTTTGCCACTACGAAGCTGCCTCCACCCACGAATCTGCTTCCACCCACGATATTCCTCGTTGTCCTTCGTTTCCACTTCTCCCCTCTCTTCTCTCTTCAATTCCTTCTTTAGTTTTTTTGGAATTTAATCTCAACTTTCCCCCATTAATGGTAGTTAGTGTCCCGCCCTGTCCCGCCTAACCCCAAACCACGTAATGAAAACAAAGCCATGTCAGCTTCCCGTTCATTTCTAATCAAAACATGTGCGGTCACGTGAGTTCGATTTAACAATCTGGTCGCCGGAGTAGGCTTAAACGGTTAAGTGATCACTTTATAGGCCTTATTGTCGCCTGAGTTGTTTTTAGGCCTTATTGGTCACAGTGTGTCACTTTTTAGACTAAATTGGTATTCTGGTCACCCGTCTCTTCTGAGAAGCCCTCAGGTTTTCTTTTTTGATGATAAAAGTTTTACCCTTTCTCTTCTAAGAAGCCCTCAATTTTTTTGTTTTAGTTAATAAAATCCCTAACTTATCGAGGATATTTGAGGGACTTTTAGAAAAGATCGGGAAAACTTAGGAGCTTTTTTACAAAAAAAAAAAAAAGAAGTCGATGACTTCTTAAAACAAAGGGCCAAAAGCTAGGAGTTTCATTGTTAAAAAGAAAAGTTAGAAGCTTGTTAAAAAGGGGCAAAACTTAAAATTATGTTCTACTCAGGAAACGTAGGCGATCCTCATGGTTGAGAAGTTACAATATGACTCCCAAGATTTTGGATTTGATTCTCATATTAAAAATAAAAATAAAATAAACTATGTTCTCCTCATAATGCTTATGAGGAATTGTTAAACAAGTTACTTAATAAAAACAATTTTGCACCAGAGCCTTTTTTTTAGCTTTTACGTATGTACATGTTTTAGTGATATCTCAAATAAGCTAGTTTTTAAGTTCAATTTTAAAAGGTTGGTATTTGATCACCAACATTAGTTTATAATCTCATCTAAATAAGTTAAATTTGGTCATGTAAATTAATGCTTTACCCAATACAAATTTTCTAAAAAAATTACGTAAAATTCAAAATAAAAAACTAGTGTAACCTATAAACTTCACCAAATAATCTGTCTCAAACACCTTTTTCTAATACAGAATGAGTTAGAACTACATAATATTGTATCAAATATTTGCTATGCCAACTACACTCGACGAAAACACACAATGGATTCGTTAAATTTTTTCCCGTACCCCTTTCTCAACTCACAATTGTTGACGGCCCCTCAACAAATTTATCGTATGTAAACAAGCATGTTTGCTATATACACTCCCAAACAGTGAATAAAGTTTCCAGAAATACATTTCGCTCCTCATCAGTCTCCTCCCCACAACCCTAAAACCTCTCAAATTGAGACCCAAAGAAGATCCCCAAACCCCCCAAAAATGCGGCAAAAATCCGATCACGGCGCCGCCACCGCCGCCGCGCCAATCTCTTCAGACGCCTCCTCTCCGGCTGACGCCTTTCTCCTTTCGTCCTCGGCCTCTTCCGCCCTCCTCCTTCCGCCCATCCTCGCCTGCCGCCTCAGGCTCCGCGCTGCCGCCGGCCGACGACCCTCCCCTCTCCAACCCTAACCCTAACCCTAATCCTCCTCACTTACTTCGCCGTCGTCTCCGGCCTCGTCTACGACGTCATCGTCGAGCCCCCCGGCATCGGCAGCACCCAAGATCCCCGCACCGGCGCAGTCAAGCCCGTGGTTTTCATGCCTGGGCGAGTCAACGGGCAGTACATCATCGAGGGGATCTCCTCTGGGTTCATGTTCTTGCTGGGCGGCGTTGGGCTTATACTGATGGATCTGGCGTTGGATAAGAACCGGGCGAGGAGCGTTAGGGTTTCGTTCGCGGCGTTCGGGATCTCGGCGGTGGTGATCGGGTACGTGATGGCGATGCTCTTCATCAGGATCAAGATCCCATCTTACTTGTGGTGATTCCGTCGAAGAAGGGTACCTCTAGATCTGATGTTTTCTTTCCTTTACTTAATAAACTGCTTCCAGATGGGTTAATTGAATGATGTTTATGCTTGCATTGCGAAATGTTACAAACTTTAGTGTGAAATGTGGGTAATTTTAGGGCTTTATGTACTGTGATTGTATTTGGCTATCTTTTAATGCGGTATGAAGTATATTCTGTTGAGATGGATATCATGAATTACGATATTGCTGGTATTATTGGCAGTTCATGTAGTTTTGGCCTTGGTTTGTCGTTAGAATCTTGGATGTATTCATTGGATCTGGTTTCCTATTTGAATTGTTAAATTTTTAACCCTGCTTTAAAATGTGAGGGAATTTAGGTGCTTTTTGTGTGTCGCTTTTGTTTGGAATGCTATATTTGATAACCTGTGACATTTGGATGTGATACCGCTAAATTCAGACTTAATCGAATTCTGTTTTCTGTTTGTATTGGAAAAGTTTCAACTTTAGCATAGAATATGTCGAAATTTGGTGTGAAATGGAGTGTGAGTTTTAGGGCTTCATGCATTGAGATGCTATTTACCTTTCTTTGGATGTAGTATGAAGTAAACTTCATTGAGATCGACATCATGAATGAAGATATTGTTGCCTTGTATTACTGTAAGTCATGTACTTTTAGCATTGGTTTGTTATGCGGAACTTGAATTTTGGAATCGTGTAGAATGTAGATGTATATTGTATGCATTGGTTTGTTATGGGGAACTTGAATTTTGGAATCATGGAGAATGTAGATGTATATTGTATGCATTGGATCTGGTTTCCTGTTTGCGTTGCGGACATTTTAACTCTGCCTTATAAAAAAATGTGAGAAAATTTTGGGGTTTTATACATTTGTTTGGAAATAATGTTGTTTGATATCTTATGACTTTTGGATGTTCATGTTCTATTTCTTAATTTGGAGGTAATCGCATAAAGTTTTCTGTTTGTATTGCAGAAATTTCAATGAGCATAAAGTATGTGTAAATTTGAGATCGCCATGCTTGTTGGCTACCTTTTGGATGTTTAATTGACCAGTAAACACAGTTCAGATGTCGTGTGGAGATATTGAGGTCGTTATGTGCAAAGCATGTAGCTTGGAGCTTGGCTTGTTTGAATCTCATAGATGTCTGAAGTGGATATTGGTTCTTGTCATTTATTTAAATTCCAAAAGTTCCAATTTTATCATAAAATGCATGGAAACTATGAGGTTTTCTATGTGTATGCTAATTGGCTTCTTTGGATGTGCTATTTTTAGATGAATGTCATGAATTAAGTTCATGTCTCTGTTACTTGGAATGCATGTAGTTTGTGTCTTGGTTGTTTGAACCTTATGGATGTCTCATTATGGTACAATTTTTGCATGTACTAGATTTTTATTTAGAAAACTTTAGATGCGATGATCAGAGTGTTTGTAAAATAAATCATGTGCTTTAAACTTAAATTCGTGGTAGTTTTCTTTGATGCATCTGATAATGTAGCTATTCACATAATGGTATGTATTACCTCTGTGTCCTCATTTTCTTTACAGCATTCTTTTATTTGTCCTCAATAGTAAATCTATTTTCAACATTGTAACTGCACTTCATCACGAAGCAACATGCCATGGCTGTTGTCAAACAATGAGGTTGCTTCATCATATAGTCAATGAAATGGAGCTGCCTAATAAATGACAGCTATGGGTGAATCTGGTGGAAGAATGTTCTTCTTTTCTCCATAATATGCCAGCCATCTTGATCATGTCCTAGTATGGTAATTTCTTTACTCTGAGTATACTTAATCTGTCCGCAGCCAAGATCTGTTACACTGTTTCCCCCCAAATTCCCTTTTGTTGATATGATAACAAAGCTATCTTACACTGTTCTATGTCCAGATTGTATGAGACATGAATGCTTAAAATGTAAGGAAGGTACAGAGTACACATGCTTAATGAATATAAGGGTTTACAGGTTCACAATAAAGCCCCTTGTACTTTAAGATCTAAATCTTCTTTGGAATGTAGCCTTTCATATGTATACTATTTCAGGAGTTTTAGTTTCTCTATATAATTGCTTGTATTTTCCCTATATTTATTTTACGAGAATCCAATCATGCAAATTCTTCTTGTGCTTGTCTTAAGAGCTGAGTATCCTCGTTAGCATGGATATGGACAGACAGGGAGGAAATGGTTTTAAAGTCGGTGTTGTTTGAGAAAATGGGAAGAGAGCAGAAAACAGATCATATTTAACATAAGCTTACTGAAGTATTTATAGCTTTCATGAAAAGATGAGAAAGATGGCTATCAGAAAGTTTGTACACAACATCATCTTAAATATTTGACGAAGAAGTGTCATGTGTGCCTCTTTCTGGTTCTTAGATGACATTATCATAGAGGTTTGACATGTTTGTCAATATCTGGTGACTTTGATATTTGTACCTCTCGTATTCACGTTTATTTATGATCAAGTCTCTCTCCTTCTTTTTGTGTCCTTCAAACTGTGGTAAGAGAGTTCTTCAATTCCTTGATTGATTAAACATTTTAGCTACATCAGGTTGCATTCCACTGTGGAAAACCATCCTAGCTTTTCTGTATCTTAAATCTAGCCTTCAAATTATGGGTAAGATCTGCTTGCAAATATCGTATATTTTTTAGTGTTGGAAACTTTTGTTTTCAGCATAAATTGTCTGTCTTATGACACAAATCTGCAGTTATTAGTTTTGGAGCGTAAATGTTAAGACTGAGAGACGCAAACCAATGGTTCTGCATTGGTCTGTCTCATGGATACCATACACATCTGCCCTTAGGATAAATTCAGCTTTCTTAGGCTTTATAACTTTAAGATGTTTTTCGAGAATCTCATGTTTATACCAGAATTGCACGAATACAACCATGTGCAATGCAGTTGTACTCGTTCCTTAAAGAAACCATTTATAGCCGGTTCTACTTTCATACCAAAAAATGCTGTTCCCTAATTCATCGACAATGATTAAGGAATTAGGTTCTGTCATTAGATTGACAAACAATCATATCCTTTTCTGTGAACAGTCCTGATATAGATATCTTGAAACTTCCAAACAAAATCTCTACTTGGTTTTTAAGGCAATCCCCAGGTTAAAGCGTGGGATCTAACTCATAGTAAGAGGAAGGAAAACAAAGTTATAACCATATTTATTCCTTTCCTGAAGCAAGGCCTGTAGTACAACAGAAGCAAATAAGGCTTCTGTCGGTTCCCTTCAACCAACAAAATATTTAAACATTATTACAGACATCTCATAGGATGTCAAAAAATAGAGCAATTTCGTGTCAAATAGAAGCATCAAGTGATTTGTTGCTAAAAGATATTTGATGCGGATAGCTCCCTATTGATTTGGGCGCTAGTATTCATTTTCAGCAGAGGGGTTTCAGTTCCAATATTGCTTGTGGACTACCCCACTGGATCATTTTCAACTTCTGCTCCACCAATTTCTTGCTACACGGATCACCGTAGTATTGAATAGTGATCCTCTCACAAACACATGCATTCATCAGTAGAAACTTGATGAATCCCATCCAGTAGCTTTGACGCAGGTTAACTTTGCATATTTGGATGGTCCTGAGGTTATTTATCAAACACCAAGAAGGATTCTGGCCTTCCCAGTAACTTCCTATGGTATGCAAATGCTCCTTATCCTGATATTGTATTAAAGAATAAACATATTATTCAAAATGATTTGCAGAATTATAATTATTAAGGATTGAGTTTGAGAGTTTATATCTACATACTTTTATTCTGAGTTCACGTAAGTTTGGACAACTGTTGAGTAGGCAAGATAAAACAGTGGCCAGTTGATGATTGCTCAAGCTTATTTCCATATCCAGCTTCTTTACTGATTTCAGGTGGTATTGTGGTGGCAAACTTAGTGGAAATTCTGCTCTCTGCCACTGTAGACACTGTAACCATGAAAGAACGAGGAGGTAAGTTTATGATACTATGGAAAAGCATTTGAGATGACATCCTGTTCTTGTTAGTTGTATGTTCAGATTAAACTGCATGAAACACGAGGCAGATTTTTCTACTTCTAGAATTTGTGGCAAAGTGCTTGGTGGTGGCTCATTATATCTGTTGACGAATTTCGCATCAATATCAAAGATGTTGATAGCCCAACAGTTTGTTGTTAATTTCTGTCAAATTGCCTAAGGGGGCTTGTGCTTGATTATCCCATGTTGGTATAGATGTGCTACTGGCAAAAGAACCGTGATCAAAAGAAGAATATGCTTTATCAATCTATAAGATAGATTGTTTTTTTCCATTTCTAGAATTTGTGGCAAGACTCTAGGTGATTATTGGTTATATCTGTATTAGAATGCAGATATGTTGACAGTCTATTGTAAAGTTCTGTCAATATTTCCATGGAGTTTGTTCTGGTTGATGAGAAAAGACAGATGGTGATATCTTCCTTCATAGAGATGCTTTATCAAATATAAAGAAACCTACCTCAGCAAAGTCTGTGCAGAAATGCAAAGAAAGCCTCTCCAGATGATAACAACAGGAGAGATCCATGAAGAGCTGAACGAGCCTGTCTGCTTGATCTTCATCCTCTTCTCTGCTCGAATCATCGTAGTATCGTATGCAGGTATCGTTATACGCAGATAAAAAACTGAAGGTAGCCTCTCTCAGCTGTTCAGTATCTCTCAATGAAATTTGTATTCTGTTCAATGTAATGATCTCTAACGACCATAGTTTGCGTGCAGCAATCCTGAAATTCCTCACCTTCACACAGCAATCAACCTTTAGGGTCTCCAAAAGCCTGCAGCAAGAAACCATCTGCTGGAACTGATCGTTGGTGAAATAAACCCCAGAGAGAATCAGACTCCTGATATTGCTAAAGTTGGATGGTGATGGTGGAAGTATCGATAACATGCACTTGCCAAGCTCCAGCTTCTCCAACGTCGAGCAGAAAAATACCAGCGAAGGGAGCTCATAGAAGCACCCGCCCCCGCCTCTGTTCATTACTGATAACTCTCTGATACCTCTCTCGATCAGTGACATAAGAAAATCATTCATACGAAGAATGTAATGATTCTTCGAAGGACTGAATGAAATCCTACAAACGTGGATTGGACCATGGACAGAAAGCTGGACCGAGTTGAGCATTGATTCCCATATTTGGATTGTTGATCGGTTGTCATCATCAGAAGTGGGGAGGAGGTTTTCATCGAGAAGGTGGAGGTGGGTGACGAAGCGATAGAGATATCGCCACCGCTTAGAGAGAATAGAGGTTGTTATAGATTGTTTGGTTGGCATAAGGGAGAGGATAAAGGTGAGAAGGGGATCCGGGAGGCTGCTCAGCCGGTCATCATCACCGGAGGGATCCATGGGAGGAGGAGGAGGATGTTTGTGCTGTGAGGATGTTGGTGGGGAAGAATAAATACTGAGAATAGCAAAGGCAAGTAAAAGGGAAGAGAAGATAGCAGCCAAACATAAGAGGGTGGATGGGATGTCACTATTAGATTAAGAAGTTTTTAGATATTAGCCCCTTACATTGAAGCCAATTTGATATATCCCCTTAAATCTCCATATTTTGATATTAGCCCCTCAAGATGCTATGAAGTGTTAATATGAGGGGCTTATATCCACACATCACGTCTATTTGAGGGGCTAAAATCAAAATATGAATCCAACCATAGGGGCTCGTATCAACATGTCATAGCTATACGAGGGGCTACTACCAAAATATGAAAATGTAAGGGGCTAATATCAAAATACTTATAAAAAGAGCTAATATCTAAAAAAAACTCTTATATTAAATGTTTTCTTTTGTGGGTGTATTAAACAGTTGTAGTATGCTTGGGTGGTAGTTGGGATTGGACTCTTAACTAGAAGTCAAAAATGAAGAAAAAACTAAAGAGGGAAAAATAACAAGGGAAGCTAGAAATTTTTACAATTTAAAGGCTTTGGAGATTGGGGTCGGAATCTGAGAAGGTTTGCAAGTTGGACTGGTGAAGGGCATGAAGATAGGATTAACGAATTTATGAAATAAATTCAATCTGGGTAGTTAATTAAGCTTGCAACAGTAAATCACCTGACCTCATGAGATTCATGTATGAGCGTGGTCTAAAATTAAAACAAATTGAAATAGAAGTTGGCATCAATAATTAGAGGTTGATTTTTTATTTTATTTATTTTTTTCCTAATCTTAGCAGACATGTATGTGGTCCTGTTGTTTATATTGGTACTTCTTGAAATTAAGTTTTCTAATTACGACAAGCGTTCAACCAACAGTGTTAGTTCCTCTTCTCAACCGTACTTTCTCTCTTGTTCTTTGGTTTGTGAATAATTGCATCCAACCATAAT